AAAGGAAACTTATACTTACCATCAAGAAGTGAGTTCACATTTTTAGGGTACATCAAAAAATATGGCTTGGGAAATTTGATACTCACAGGGCAGATTGAAGGAACAGTAAAAAAACAACGCATAACCTACTTGATTAAATTTGATGGCAAAACAATGATTAAAAGAGATGACAATAAGAGCAAAATATATTAAAAGCTACAAAGGGCCGGGAATTATGGAAAGCCATGATCGCTAACGTCCCAAAGGAGCCCAGCTCATAAAAGTAGCGGTAGTCTAATTGTTTATCATCTGGCTGCTAATTAGCTTTCTTTTTGTCTTCAGTTTATCTTAATAATAACTATATTTTTTTTTTACTCTATGTATCAATAAAAGAAGAAGAAAACAAAATCGAAAGTGATGGAGAGACGAAGAAAAGCACAAATATATTGAAGGGTAATAACATAACGTGACCAAAAGGTAATAATAGACGATTTTAAAAGAAACGAAACGGAAACGGAAACGGAAATGGAAACTGGCAGAAACAGAAGATCGGACAGATGGTGTTTTTCGTATTAGCTCTTAAGACGTTCAAATAACCTGAGTATAATGATGGAAGAGTCGACTTATGTTTCTTTTTAGATATCGAAATAAGAAGAAGTAGATATGAGGCCGGTATAATTCGGCGAATGGAAACAGCTTTCAAAGACCGTCTACTTTTTTATACAGATAATATTGAAAGAGAGTTAACTTCCAAAAATACACTGAATGCTACGGTGTATACCATCCGCCATTTTCCTTGTTTCCTTCTTTTAACAAATTACATTTATAATTTACCAAATCGGAACTGTCTATTGGGATATATATATATATATATATATATATATATATATATATATATATATATATATATATATATATATATGTGTATGTGTGTATTGATGCATGTTTCACTTTGTCTATTTATTTTAAGTAAGTTCCTTTCATATTCTCTGATAAGTTTAATAACATTATCATGAAAGGAACTTATTTAAATAAATAGATCCGGCTTGTCTATATTATTTAATGAAACATGCATAATTTGCTTTATATATATATATATATATATATATATATATATATGTGTGTGTGTGTGGGTGTATGTATGTATGTATTATAGTGAAAAGAATGAACAGTAAGATATATAATCCGGTGTTCGTATTGATATTTTTTTGCAAAAAAGAGTGCTCAATGTAAATTTACCACATATATATATATATATATATATATATATATATATATATATATATATATATATATAGTCGAAGATTGCGTTTAAACATGAAACGGACGGTCGCCGCTGGGTATTGACGTCGATGTCCACTTTTATATTTACATACGCTCTGTCCTCGATATTACTTTAACTTATAAATCTACCATACCTAAAGCACATACACATACACACAAAAAAACACACACACACACTATATATATATATATATATATATATATATATATATATATATATAAAAAGGAGGTGTGTAATTTTTTCGACGTGACTCATTTTCAATGTTCCGATATTTGATTATTGAAATGCTGATTTTGGGTAGTCAATCCAAATAAATAAATAAAGTAAATACTAAACAAATTAACAAAATTAATCCCGCCAAAATAACCGTTAGAATAGACTAAAACAATCATTTCTAAACATTGGTCGAAAAAATAGCTATTACTGCTAGATAGTGATAAAAAATAAAAAATTACTACGTTACTTAAAATGGAAAACCAAAAAGAATAAATAAAAATATACAAAATAAAAGAAAAATAAGTAAATAAATAAGTAAAATAAATAATATATATATGTTAAACAAATGACTTCAAATACATGAAATTGCATATTTCGCTGCATCGTCTTCATTTTTTTTTTAGTATACTGGTCCTACAAAAGCTGTATAAATATGGTGGAAGCAGAACCTTAGATCTATAGCAATAAAAACCCGCCAAAGAAATTGTGACAGCGGCACGTAATCACACGAATGAAGGAAAAGGTAATGCAAATAGAATATTGATGAATAAAATTAAAACAAGTGTTAAAATTCTGTAGGAACTTAGTGGAAGACTAAGGCGTTCTAGCAATACGTACAACACTAACAATAAGCGTATTCCACGTGATACAAAAATAAAGTGATTCTACATAAATAAAACCATTGTACAGGTAGGGTGGCCACTGAAAATTGAATGACAAAACAAAAATAACTTTTACAAACACATGGGTATCTTGGGGTGTTGTTCATGATGACGGTCGTCTTTGAGTATAGAATCCAGAGGTTAGCAGTGAATATTTTGAAGACAGTAGGAAAGCGTTGTTCAGGTTAGCAGTGGATATTTTGGTAAAAGTAGCAGAGCGTAGTTCTTCCTTCTGTTTCTCTTCGCCTGACAAGATGGCCTTTGACATTCGGATAGAGTAGACAAAATGGCCGCCTTTATACACGACAGAGTGAATATTCTACGTCTTCTGATTGGTTAACCTATTAGTTGACTATAAAGTGAGTCAAGTCATTTGGACTGGCTCACTAGTTACATATTATACACAAAAAAACTGCAACATGGGGTAGTAATGTTTGGATCATACGAATCTTGTATAGAAAATATTTAAAGTACACTTTCAGAAACTTCTGAAGCAATGTTCAGGCAATGCCTAGTTGAGCAGGGCGACGAGAGATGGAACCTGATGGATCCTCAAGGACACTCTGCCGTACAGCTTGCATTAGTGCGCTCAGTGCGCTTAGGACCTCTTCCCGGAAGTCCGCCGACTAATCCAGTTCTTTCAAACCGCGTGATTAGTTTCCGAATCAGGTCGCCGGTATTTTTGTGAATTTGTATAATTGATCATTCACTGGAATAGAAAAAAACATCATTGGGTTTTACTCGTTGCTGGAAATCATATGGAGTCATTTTAATCTCCAACCGATACTTGATAACCGGCAAAAAATAAAATAAAATAAAAAAGTTATAACTTTTTCAAAGCCTTCAGTTTTTCAGTGGCCACTCGATAAAAACCTGTGAATATCCACGATGATTATATCTACACACGCTCAATTTCGATAATGTACACTCTTTCTCGGTAAATATATCAAATTTTAAATTGTCCCCCCGACACCCCCCACATATATATATATATATATAAGCAAGTGTAAATGGATATAAATCCGACAGAATGAAGAAATTTTGAAAAAACAAACAAAAAAAAACAAACAAAAATGTGACGACAGCGTGACCATGTTAGACGGAAGGCTGATCATTTTAAAAATTTTCAGTTATCTGTTCTGAATAAGACTTGTGTTTTTATGTCCATCGTATTTGTCATATTGAACTGAATTGTATTTTGATGAATATTGTCTTGAAAAAGGTTTAATAAACCGAAACGTCAGACGTCGACATTTCTTTCATTTAACTACATTTAAGGATTTTTGTTTGTTTTTTCAAAATTTCTTCATATATATATATATATATATATATATATATATATATATATATATATATATATATATATCCAAGTAAGATGAGAACGAATAGATTAAAATTCCTACATCGTAGCATTTAATTTAAAAGACGGCTCAAAATAAATTTCACTTACCAGTAATTTACAATCGCCTGGTGAGATGCATTTCATACGCATCGAAACACGACTCCAATTGCGTCAGTTATGTGATTTTGACATGTAATTTGATGTAATATTCGATGTAATATCTGATATATATATATATATATATATATATATATATATATATATATATATATATATATAGCCACATTCTCGAAGTTTCAGACCTTGTCTACTCTGGCCTTCTTCAAGATCTGTCTATATTTCTGAGATGAGGTATTGTAACAGTATTATTACACTACTTACATCTTTCGGACTGTTGTCCTTGTGTTTATTGTCACATTACCGAAGCTTCAGCTGTTGTACGCTATGGCCTTCTTCAGGATCTGTTTATATTTCTGAGATGAGGTATTGTAACTATTTACACTATTTACATCGCTCGGACTGTTGTAATCATGTTTACTGTTATATTCACGACGTTTCGGCTTTTGTACGCTCTGGCCTTCTTCAGGTGATATATTTTGGAATTTCGAATCGAACTCTTTATTTAGTCCATGCCTTTCCCGGATATCTCAATTTCTGATAATTCTTTTTAGTAACTTAACTCTCCAAGTTTGTAACTATATGCATCTATATTTAAATAAATACAAAAAGGTGTATATAAATATTTAATTTCAATTTCCATCTACATAAGAATAAAACCGATGTGAAGATTTTCAACAAATTCCGCAAAAAAACAGCCCTAATTTAATATATTGATATTATTTACACTCGGACTCATTCTTTGTTGTTCTCATCGCAAAGTTTTGGCCGTTGTGAACGCCGGCCTTCTTCAGGTGTTTGCCAATCCGGTTCGCCTTCAGGGATATTCGAAATAAAGCCTTTAATTAATTTAAGAGAGGAGATCATCTCGTTCTGCTGTACTTGTTTTGGCATATATCGTTTTTTTTAGTACGTCTAAGTTATTGCTGGCATTGCTTCCACTGACTCTGTACCACCCAAACGAGGGATTTAACTCACAATTACGATGTTAGCAAATTAAAAAAAACACAGCAACGTTTTAGTTCACGAGACTATTATTCCGTGGAACATTCAGGCAGAAATAATTTAATGTTCCATATTTTCTTTCAGTCTTTGAGACGAGATAGATTCATGAAAATGTTGACCATCGAACTGAAAAATAAAACAAAAAAATTGGTTCTTAATCAGATTAAGACAAGTCCACTGATGATTTCTTATAACTGATATCATATATCAGTATACAAACCCAATTAAAATGTACACTTTACCCCAGCTTCAATTTCTCAGATAACTCATTGGTTGAAAGGCGAGAGAAAAACAATAAGCACGCAGACTGTCAGACATTATTCGTGAATTTTATTGATAAATATAATAATAGGAAAAAAGTAATTCGTCAAAATCTATTAGATATTGTTGTTAAATGAAAGAATATCTATCTCAGTTTATTGATATCTTTCACAGTTTATACATATCTGTCTGTCTATCTATCTATCTATCTATCTATCTATCTATCTATCTATCTATCTATCTATCTCAGTTTATTGATATCTTCTACTTTATTCATATCTATCTATCTATCTATCTATCTATCTATCTATCTATCTATCTATCTCAGTTTATTGATATCTTCTACTTTATTCATATCTATCTATCTATCTATCTATCTATCTATCTATCTCAGTTTATTCATATCTTTCACAGTTTATTCATATCTATCTATCACAGTTTATTCATATTAATCTATCACAGTTTATTCATATCTATCTATCTATCTATCTATCTATCTATCTATCTATCTCAGTTTATTCATATCTTTCACAGTTTATTCATATCTATCTATCTATCTATCTATCTATCTATCTATCTATCTCAGTTTATTGATATCTTCTACTTTATTCATATCTATCTATCTATCTATCTATCTATCTATCTATCTATCTATCTATCTATCTATCTATCTATCTCAGTTTATTCATATCTTTCACAGTTTATTCATATCTATCTATCACAGTTTATTCATATTAATCTATCACAGTTTATTCATATCTATCTATCTATCTATCTATCTATCTATCTATCTATCTCGGTTTATTCATATCTTTCACAGTTTATTCATATCTATCTATCTATCTATCTATCTATCTATCTATCTATCTATCTATCTATCTATCTATCACAGTTTATTCATATCTATCACAGTTTATTCATATCTATCTATCTATCTATCTATCTATCTATCTATCTATCTATCTATCAGAGTTTATTCATATCTATCTATCTATCTATCTATCTATCTATCTATCTATCTGTCTATCAGAGTTTATTCATATCTATCTATCTATCTATCTCGATTAAAATTTACAGGGTTCATAAGAAAGAGTGCTCAACATCGAGGATAGAGATTTAATAGATATAAAGAGTGTGTAAACGTAAATATTTAGTACATGGTTATATAACAGTTCTTATAAATATCCGCTGATGCTCTTTGGTACCTTGTTACAGACGCCTGTTCAGGCTCGTTTGCGTTTCTTCAACCACTACAGAGCCAACCTGTCACTTATATTGCAACTAAGATATATATATATATATATATATATATATATATATATATATATATATCTGGTGGAATCCCTAATTTGAAGAAGGGCAGTACTCTCGATTACGATGACTGGTAACCTCGTGGTAGCGCAACCATAAGCGGTTTCTAAACATTTTAGTTCAGTTTCCTCTCATAAAATGTTTTCAGACATTTTCCGAAGTAATAGCACGTTTTTTCAATTTAGAGCTAAATAAATTCTTATTCTTAAAAGTACTGTCCAATAGTGTTGCAAAAACCTCATAGAATTCCAGTAAAATATCTTTAATCATTCCCAAGATGTAACGGTTTAAATCCTAATCTAACAATTGGACAAATTTTTGCTGTTACATACGGTATATATATATATATATATATATATATATATATATATATATATATATATATAATTTATTCGAAAATTATAACATAAATATGTTATAAAATCACTACAAAATAGCCATTTTGTTTCAACACTTCTGGTGTCTTAGTGATGGCGCTGAATATAGAATAGAATTTTAAAATGGTTCAAATCGACCAAACACCCCTCGATAGGGGAAACACTGTTACATAAGCTTCAATGACCAATCAAAATACAAGTATATGAGAATTCAAAAAACTTGACAACGAACCTTGATTATAATAATTAATGGCTTAATGTTAGGGTTAGACTAAAATAGAAATCATTCTAATTAATATTAAATTTTATATAGAATTGAAAATTAAATATTATCAATTTCAAATTTAATCTGTATTAAGTTTAAAATATAAATTTATTTAAAGAAGAAACTGAAAAAAATGCATATATTTTATTATTTATTTTGTTTTAATTCTGAGCCCCAAATCTCAGTTCGAATAAATGTTTATATAATGGGGATGTAAAACTTTTTTTTACAACTTAGATACATTTGAAATGGTGATATAGGTAGAGGAGTGAGAAATCTTGCAAAAAGACAATACATACACAATCTGATTATAATACACAAACACGTATACATATTTAGATATATAAACACGCAAAAACACGAACGAAACAGGAAATAGATGTCCAAGACCTCCTACCAAAACACAGACAACATATGCATACAATGAAAGGCATATATAAGCGATCATATACACATAAATTAATAAAGACACAGGCATATACACACCTACAAAGATTCAAGTTTGGAAGTGTTAGTAAACGAATTCAATCAAAATATTACTTACATGGGTAAAGATGAATAGATAAAAAGAGGGTTCAATAGTTAAAATTTAAGAGAGGTAGAATATGAAAAAGAAATATTCGGCAATGAACAACCAAAGAAAAAAGACAATAAAATATATAGAAATGGATAGAAATATATATATATATATATATATATATATATATATATATATATATATATATATATACGCATACACGCACATAAAAACACCAAATTCAAATGTCCAGGCAAAAAATGACATACGTAAAATAAAATAAAACCAGCTAATATAAAAAAAGAAAACACATAAGCACACAAATATATATAAATATCTCAAATATACTTATGTACGCATCGGTACACATACCCGAGTATAACTATGTAACAATATATATAAAAATAAATACATACGTATGTGTAGAGACATTCATCACCACAAATAGATACATACATAAATATACATACACGCATACATACATATATACATATATATATATGCATGTATACACACATATACATACATACACACATACATACACGTACATACCCATACGCATATGTATATATACACAAACATAGAAATATAAATATATCAACATACACAGTAACAATATTATCAAACAAAAGTTGATTATAGTTAGCATAGATAATTCATTCAAAAACACTACTATACACACGCATATATATATATATAGATATATACACACACACATATATATACGCACACACATACGTACATACGCATACACACCCATACATATACAAGCGCATACATAACAACCATAAATACAAATGCACACACACACACACACACGCACACACACACACACATATATATATATACATACACACACACACAAATATATAACTACAAGTACAAATATATTCATATATACATACATACCAGCAAATACGCTCACATCCACGCACACACACACATGTATATATATACATATACATACACACACATATATACATAAATACATATATATATATATATATATATATATATATATATATATATATATATATATATATATATATATATAATAAAATTCACATAAACGTATATACATCTGTTTATAAAAATACACACACGCGTGCACATAAAAACAACATAATAAACGTAACCCCACATAGAAAGGAGGATTAGCACATAATATAATAACCCACTAAACTTACAGCAACATTACATTATCGTCAAAAATATTACTACCCCTATAGTAAGTTAAATTTTGAGCTATGTTTAACAGTGAGTTCATTCTTTTGATTTAAGAGATGAGTCTTGTCTTTAAATCTAATGATTTCAAATTTTTCATTAAGACATGAATAACAAGGAGCATATAGAGAATTACATTTTCGAGCTCTATTAATTAATTTCCACTTAACAGTAGGTTTCTTGTTTTCTCATTTAAACTCCATAAATACTTGGAGAATGAAGTCTTTATGATTGCTACTGTTGAAAGATTGCACATGTCTACGCCAATGTTCTTTGAATGTATTCATAGTACTTTCAATATAAAATTGTTTAATATTGTGGTTTTGTGGTATAGTTTATATCTATCTATCTATCTATCTATCTATCTATCTAATGAATATATTATTCACTCACAAAAAAAATTACTTTTACAATCTAAAATATGTTTTGGAATGAAACCCACAAGAGGTTGATAAACCGTAAAATTAAACCTTACTCTCTCTCCCTATAGTGGGTTTTAAACAAACGTTCATACACATACAAATATTTAATTGATTGTATTTCCAACTAATGAATAAAAATACTTTTCATATAATCAGTTATCTCCTGTTAATTTCCCTCTCCAAGTTCTCCACCGCCTTAACCGGGTATTGAACTCACACTCTTTGGGTCCTGTCACTGGATCTAACTAACGCTTTTATCCACTGTGCCATGTGTCCCTGAGAACATCTGTGTATGAATTTCTGGGTATTGAAAACCTAATTGTTCATTTTTTACCAGAGCTCATATTGCAATTTTTATAAGAAGTACCCTACAACGTAATAACTACCCTAGGTACATGAGAGCAGCCACCCAAAACTGGGATAGAGGGGTACAAGAGGAGGACAATAACACTCAGAAAACAGTTTTCCTGCCCTATGTGAAGGAGTTATCAGAGAAAATACCAAGGATCTGCTGTCCATATAACATCAGAACAAACTTCAAATGCTTGACGACAATTCCTAGTTATCTCTCGCGAGTAAGACCCCCCCCCATAGAGGAGAACATGACTAAAGACTGTGTGTATGCCATCCCGTGAAGCTGCGGTAAGAAATATAAAGGGGGAGACAGGCCGCCCTCTTAAGGTAAGTTTTGAAGAACACCAGAAAGTTGTAGCACAAGGGGAAGTGAAAGAATCAGGCGTGTCTGACCACATATGGAGAGAAAAAGATCACCGCCCTCTGTGGGATCAGGTTGAGATCATAGACAAAGAACACAATTGGAAAATTCATAAACCTAAGGAATCAGCACATATGCTAGGCCACAAAAGTCTTCTGAGCCGACCAAGCATAGAAATGAATATGGGAACCAGTAATAAGTAGTGCCAGAGAAAAGCGATAATAACAACAAAAATTGCAATATGAACTCTGGTAAAAAATTGTTCCTGAATACATTAGGTTTATAATACCCAGAAATTCATACATTGATGTCCTCAAGAGCACAAAGCACAGTGGATAAAGGCGTTAGTTAGATCCAGTGACAGGACCCAAAGAGTGTGAGTTCAATACCTGGTTAAGGCGGTGGAGAACTTGGAGAGGTAATTAAGCTGGAGTTAACTGATAATTGACATCCATTAGACATGGCCCGTGGAACAAGAACAGTCTACCCAAAAGATCGAAATAAAGGGTTCAGTTCGACATTCCAACCACCTGAAGAAGGCCGGGGCGTACAAATATTGTTCCATTCTTCTTCGTATATGTTCTTTAGATCTGGGATATTTCTTGGTGTTCTCGAGTGGATTTGAATTTTCAAATAAGGACAGAGATTCTCGATTGTGTTTAAAGCTGTGGACTGACTTGGTCAATTTTAGGTATTTACAATTTTTTTCGTAGATTTTGCAGTGTGTTTAGGGTCATTATCTTCTTGGAAGATCCAATTAGTAGGACGTTCAAGATTTTCAACCGGAATCATTAAATTTGTTTCCAAAATATTTTGATATGCAGCAGCATTCATTCTACTATCTATTACTGATATGTTGCCAGTATCATTTGCAGAAAAATCCCCAAACCATGATGCTGCCATCACAAAATTCTACCTTGTTATTTTGCTTGAAGACATCGCCATCTTTCCTTCCTAGATGATTTCTAGAATTACGTCCAAACAACACAATTTTGGTTTCCTTTGTCCATAATACTCTTTACCAATATAATTTTTACTTATCTTTATGTTCACCAATGAATTTCAATATGACATTTCTCTGTTTCTAAAATAGCAATGGAGTTTACTGAGGGGAGCGTGACTTTAGATTGTTCCTATGAATTGCTTATTTTACGTTTAGTGACACAGAATCCTGATGAAAGCAAATCATCCTGCATCTCGACGAGTAGCCATTGTATTTTGTTTAATTTGACGCATTCCTCGAAGATCTTGAAGAAATCTTCTGCGGAACACCTGTTCGTCTTTGATTTTCAACAGTTTTGAGTTTTTTTTTTTATACCTTGCAACAAATAAACTAATGACATTAAATCGAATATGCAGGTTGTCTGTGAGCGTCCTTTAACTTTTTCCTTCTTTCCAGAGCTTTACAATTCTTTCTGCGAATTTGTCAATTCTATACTTCTTGCCATGATGATAACCTTCTTGCACGAATACCAATTATATAATGTTCTGTTTGTATTTTTTAGTTTAAACGTAACTACTGATAACATTACTGGAACATTCTAGAACATTCCACTTGAATAATCTAAATTATTAAGGTAATTTAAAAATATTAAAATCTGAAATTTGCATTGTACGAATGTTTTTGTCATCCATAGGATTTATTTCTATTAAATAAAATCTTTATCTGTTTCCTGTGTAATTATTATGCATCTGTGTACAGTTACTTATATGAAAAGTATGTTTATTCATTAGTTGGAAATACAATAAATTAAATATTTGTATGTGAAAAATATTTGCTTCCCCACATACACACACTATATATATATATATATATATATATATATATATATATATATATATATATATATAGAGAGAGAGAGAGAGAGAGAGAGAGAAATAGAAGGCTGGGAAGAGAACTTGGGAAACCAACATCAAATTGCACTCATTTTTATTTAGAATTTTTTATTTCCACCGCGTATTTTACATCTTTTTTTCGAAATTATTTCGACGTAATAAATACAGAATTCTTTGTTTTTATTTTTTTACACATATATAGTCTTTCATATATTTCAAGAATTCTATAGACAATTCATTACAATTCGGAGTAGAAACTCATATCTGTCTGGTCATAAAGACTTATTTTAAGAGGCAATAAATATTCCGCGAATTCTTTAATACATTACAGGAAGCTTATCTATTCTCTAAAGACTGTGTATCAGCAAACCATTAAAGATAGTCTGTTTCTGTATAATTTTGATCGAAGTAAGCTACCTTTTCTTTATGTTCTTGACTGAAAATCTAATCCTTTATTTTTTGTATTTTTCTTCCGTGATTATACAGTTTTCTTTTGATAATATTGTTACGTCAGTTTTCGTAAAGTTCCTGAAATTGTTTTTTCTCTTCTTAGACTATATATCGTCATTATAGTCACGAAAATGAATAACAGAAAACTGACTGTATTTCTGTTAAAATAATCACTTATTGTAGAACATTCAGATAATCTTTAATCTTCTGATAACTTATCACATATTGTGCGTTATTCAAGGTCGACTATAAAAAACATACAATGAATTTAAAAAGTAGTCGCCAGTAATTAAATAAGGAATCAAGTAACTCTGGAAGCACCACTAGAATTTCGGATTGTGTTAGAACTGATCTTTAATTGCTACGAATTCTCACTGGTATCATCAAAATAGTGGCTAAACTAAGATTTTGTGTGCGGACACTATTCTACCGACATTGGACTTCTAAGTCATTTAAAAGACTTCTTAATCATTACATTCCGAGGAAGGCAGTAAAGTCCCTAAGACGCAAAGGGTTTCTGAGTATGAAAGAATAATAAAAAGAGCGAGAACAATAACAGAAGAGGACATTGCATTTAAATTTTTGAAAATCAATGTTGGGTGAAAAGAGTTCCACAATCGAGAAGTGCGAGAGAAGAAACTGTTACCATAGAACTTACGGTTGATAAACTGATGAGACCTTGTTGCCAATCCAGTACTGTGCTTAAATTCATAAAGTCTAGGTACCATAGCGGAACGTTTATCAGAATAAATGGCCATGAAATTATTTCCAGAAAACGCAGAGAGACATTATCTCTGAAAAAAAAAAACAGAGTTACATTACAGCGGTGGGAACGAGACAGAGGCCGAGATGCCAGATTAGTAGCAATAACACTGCGGATTCTTCTTTGGATTTTATCAAGAATCACTAACTATATAGTAGGAGCAACAGATCAAATGTAGTAGCAATATTTAAAGCATAGACTTACGATAGACTTATAAATATGAAAGATAGATTTTAGCGAGAAAAATTGTCTAGCATGACGCAATGAACTTCTTTTCTTAGCATCAGACCTACCAATGAATTCAATATAATCATTTCAATTCATGCCAGCAGAGAATCTTAGCCCGAGAAGGCGAAACAAATCACTTTCCTGGAGCCATGCTGATGGATAGCAGAAACGAGTCTCTCAGATAATTAATAGAAAGTAGCTTCGTTTTAGAGGCATTCAACCATTCCCTGTCCAGTTTAACAGCAGATTGTAGGTTCTTTTTTGATATCCTCTGCCAATTTGACCTTATCGTGCCAATCAAGCTTACACCTTTGTGCAAATTACATCAAACAAGATGAATAATTCCGTTATTATTTACTTTTTAATATTTTTAGGATGAAAAATGTCCCAGTGCACATGTTAGCACTTCGTACATTCATTCCACGAAGACGTTTCTAGTAGAATAACCACAGATTCTCGATTGGATTTTAAATCAGAAATTGGTTTCTGGGCCAATCTATAGTACTTTGATTTACTCAATGGTAAGCCTTGCCAGTGTGCTCGTGCAGCGTTTCAATTTCCGTACGTTTTCTTTGAGTAACGTCCATCGCAGACAATGGCCGTAGGACAACTAATCGACAGTCGAGACAATAGTGTCTGGGCGTGATAAAAATCTGTTGCAATGACGGATTACAATATTTTTGAAGGTCAAAAAAATTTCAACATACACCCCGAAAATAGATTCATATTACTGCACAGCTCTGCAAATGATCCTATCTGAGGAAAAAATAGAAATCGATTACACCCTATCACTCCGGTGGGTCTAAAACTGGCCATATAGTGAAAGTAAGGAAACTAAAGCGGTTGTTTCAATTAATTTGCACCAGGGTGTACTATTGAGACTAGCGCAAATAGTTGTGTCATAAGCATAGATACCGTGTTCAGAAATGATGTTCACCAGGAAGGTCACTGATGAAAAT